CTGGTGTATAAATTCCTTCTTTCCATTAAGGATAAGAAATTCTTTGTTCTTTTGCGGATAATGCAACATGGTCTCGACATTGCTGGACAGAAATATGATTTCCCTAATACGATTTTCCTTAGCTTCCACTGCTAGCATGACGGTAATCATTCCCATTTTAGGGTAATACTCACGCACAATGCAATATTCTACGCAGAATTTAGTTCACCACAATTCATATCATGACTTGATATGCAGCTTTGAGTAGGCATTCTAACATACAAATGCTGCTACAGAAACAAGCACAAAAGAGCCTGCACTCAGCAACCACCTGAAGAGTTTTGCCAATCCAGGCAGCAGAAGTTTCGGCAGTGATCTTTCCTATCAACAGATGGAGACAGAGATAAGTGATTCCACTGGCTAGAGCACTTCACTAGGCAGTTTAACCTACTGCTTAGTATTTTAGGAAAGATTTGAAACAGGCTTCTCAACAGATCTGTCAAAAGTATTCAAAGGAGTTACAGAAGGTGGAAATTTAGATTTCCATCATTTTATTGCCTGCAAGTAGAGCAGATTTGTCTCATGGAAAACTTTTTATCAAAATCGTATTCCTAGATAAAATTCTATTTTATATTTTCATCATGGTTATGAGTAAAACAAGCTGTCACGTTCTCAAATTAAATAGAAACAGCTTAATTTTTGGAAAGAGTTTTTTGACCATACGTAGTTACATCAGGCAGAACTTCTCTGAGTCCAAGGGTTGTTGCTTTTCTTTGCAGTGGGAAGACTCATAAAGCAGCTGCTAAGAGCAAAACTGGGAAGCTTTGAATCCTGTAGTCAAGCATATTTTCTATCCCAGTCCAGTTCGATCATGCTGTCAAAGGTTTGCACTACACTGTAGCCCGGGCCCACAGGAGAGGGGTCACCATGAGACAGTTTGTTCGCTGCAGCCAGAGTTAAGTGGCACGAGGTGCAACACACAGAACTGCAAACGGGAGCTTTTCTCCTTCACCCCTTCTCCGTCATCCTGTGGAACAGCAGAGCTTGTTATAGAGCCTGCGCAAGTGGTTATAGATAAAAAAATACGTAATACACAAAATATACATTCAAATAAGCTCAATATATCTGATATCTCGGATTATAGATTTAATGGGTTTAAGAAGGACAGGATCTGCACCTCTGAGGTTTCAACATAAGCAGGACAGTTGTCTGAGGTCCCTGCCTTTGAATTTGCTCCTTCTGGCACTCTGACAGAGAGCACTTTGTTGGCCTTCAGAACATATGGCAAGGCCAATCATTTCCACCAAGATTTGGCTTCATTGCTCTAAACAAAGACTTATTTTCCTAATCATTGATTTGTTTTTTGATGGATAGTTAATTGGAATCCTACTGACCATTGCAGGCATTTATAAACTGAAGCATTCTTTTATGTACGATGAACCCAATGTCACAGTAGTGGGTAGATTATAAGTAATTTTTAAAAACCCATGCAGATAATCAGGGAATCCAAAACATGGCACATCTGTAGCTGTACTATTGACTGGAAACTGTTCATTTAAAAGCAGAAGTAGCAAAACACACAAATTACTCTTTGATGTTTGTATTACTTTGGTTTCTAAGACCACACATACATATGCACAGACTTGATTTGGGAAAAATTACTGGCTTTGCATTTTAGGTGACCTGCAGAAATATGCAGTATGCTCCTGCCCCACAAACGAACGGGTTGTATTTATCAAGATTGGGAAATCATTTCTCAGATTAGAAAACGAGAAGACTGTTCATAGATGAAAGGGACAGCGTGTTTTAACAGACTGATTCTACTCTTAGGAAAACAACCTAGCTAAAAATTGACCACGTATGCTGAGGTATCTGTTTTAAATACCATAGGTCTGTTTCAGGATTTTCCCTTAAAGCTGGGAAGATTAACGGGTATTTGCAAATAGTATCTTCCATGGAAATTCAGATCCCCTTTGTCTGTTCAAAACTGGTGGATAATATGACAAGGCAAATTTTAAGGAAGCAGAGTCTGATTATTTGAGATAAAAACTAACAAATATTGCAAAGATTCCAAAGGGATATCTCTCATTTTGGTTAATTGCAATCCATAATTTAAGGATAGGATAATGAAAAGAGGATTAATGTTGAGTAACATCCTGTGGCTGTTAGCAAAGGATAATGGCAAAGGCTATCCTTCAGCAACCTAAGCTAAGTCGAAATCTAACAGAAGTTCAGCAGCTAGCCAGCAAATATTATCTTTGGATTCATCCAAAGCTTTGTTTGTTTAAGAGGAAAAAACTTTTCACAGACACGATGAGTGACAGCAATGACTGAGGAATTTAGGAACTTTCTTAAAATGTTCCTTGTGTCCTATTTTCACTCTGGGCTTACGTAGGCAGGTTTCTTTGGAAATGAGTAAAAACTTTATCTACATACAACAGACAAGCAGTTTCTCTGAATGACACCAGTAACCATAAACCTTTCTCTTCCCTTGGCTTCTTTAAAGCCAGGGAAACACGCCTACCCAAGACCTTTTATTATTTTCCCCAAAACATGAAATATCAAATGCTCTAGATGTCTGTGAATCTGTTCATGTTACACTAATGTCTATTACTGTTCTAAATTTTTATTTCTGTTGACTTGTACGCTCTGGGCAACTCTAAATTTGACACTTTGCTTCATTTGAATATATGGCTAATTTACTAGTCCTAAAAGACACTGTATTTTGGCATAAGGCGATTTATTTTTTTCCCCTCCTTGTCTTTCTTTTTCAGTGCTCTTTACAATGGACTTGAGTCATGTTGGATGGAAACTTCTCCATTGTACGTGGTTCCGTGGTTGAAACAATTTTGTGCTTAGTTTCAAGTGGCTGTAATATAAATAGAAGCCACACCACTTTTTTATGTGGGATGGTGTATTTTTATAACTTAAAGCATGATGATATATTTGAAGAACAAATTAGTCATTCTGCCTCAAGAACTATTCTGTCTGAGGTATGCCACAAAATTGTTTTCAAATTGTTTACCTGGTGTGGAGCCTACTGAGAGCAAAAATAGATTCTCGATTTAGGCTTGGTAATTCCTGTAGTACAGTTTGGCTTATTCTGTTGCTTAACTGATTACCACGGAGCTGTGCTGGTACAGAGCAGCAATAACAGTCCTTAATAGTTCATCTCAGAACGGATTTTCTTGTTTTTTTCCTTCAGTATAGTAATACGAGTTTGTGAAAGTTGTAGCTGATAATGCTGCTCTTGATCAGACCTGCTGCCTAGCTATGAAGACATAAAAGATGGTATTAGCACTCTGTAGCACTTTGCAAAGAATCATAGAATCGTAGAATGTTTTGGGTTAGAATAGACCTTTTAGAGCTCATCTAGTCCGACCCCTCCTGCCATGGACAGGGATGTCTTTCACTACACCAGGTTGCTCAAAGCCCTGTCCAACCTGACCTTGGACACTTCCAGGGATGAGGCATACACAACTTCTCGGGACAACTTGTTCCAGTGTCTTACCATCCTCATCATCAAGAATTTCTTCCTTATATCCAACCTCCATCTACCTTTTTCAGTTTAAAACCATTACCCCTTGTCCTGTCACACAGGCCTTGGTAAAAAGTCTTTTTCTTACAAGTCCCTTTTAAGTATTGAAAGGACGCAATTAAGGTCTCCCTGGAGCCTTCTCTTTTCCAGGCTGAACAATCCCAAGTGTCTCAGCCTTTCTTCACAGGAGAGGTGTTCCAACTGTTTGGTCATTTTCGTGGCGCTCCTCTGGACCTGATCTAACAGCTCCATGTCTATCTTGCACTGGGGACCCCAGAGCTGGATGCAGCTCTGCAGAGCAGAGTGGAGGGGGTGAATCGCCTCTCTTGTACCTGCTGGCCACGCTGCTTTGGATGCAGCCCAGGACACGGCTGGCTTTCTGGGCTGCCAGTGCACACTGCCAACTCTTATCCAATTTGTCATCTACTCATATCCCCAAGTCCTCTCTGCAGGGTTGCTCTCAATCAGTTAATTACCCGGTCTGTAGTGATACTGGGAAGCTGCCATGACCCAACTGCCATCCAGGTCCTTCTGGAGAGCATCCCTTCCCTCTAGCTTAATGACTGCACCACTCAGCTTGGTGCAAACTTGCTGAGGGTACCCTCAGTGCCACTATGTATGTCATTAGGAAGATATTAAACAGTATCGGTCTCACTACGGACCCTTGAGGGACACCACTTGCTACTGGTTTCCATTTGGACATTGAGCTGTAGGCTGTAACTCTGGATGCAGCCATACAGCCAATCCCTTATCTAACAGTCCACCCATCGAATCCATATCTCTCCAATTTAGAGGCAAAACTTAATGTTGTTAGAGCCTTTTACAAAAATAACACACTCTCAGACGTTATTTAAAGGATCAATAAAATAAACTTCACATATTGTAAGCATGGAAATGGAAAGACAAAGATTATTTCCCAAGTCTGAAAGCCAGCTGTTAGCAAGGCCAGGGCAGAATTCAGCATCCCCACACTGCAACTGTCAGGCCATGTAAGATAAAACCAGTGAAATGCATCCAGTTGCCACCTTTGACAGCAGTTTTCTAGCACGCTAAACATATTTCAGGAGTTTCCTAGATTTGAAAGGTATTTTCATGAATTGCAGCACATAAAAAAAGATTATCATGTAATTCGTTTCTCACAAGAACTATTGTCTTAGAATCCTTTCTGACATCCTCAGGGCAAAGCTTGTCTATGACAGTGCTCCTTCTTATTTCCATGATATTTTATACAGATGTAACTGAAAGGAAACAATAGAAAGACTGGTAATCCACTCAACCCAGTTTTCAGTTTACTGACAGAACCACACCAACACTTGCACTCCTTGATTATACGTGGGAGTAATCTCATTTAAATATGACAACCCTATAAAACATATTGACAAGTTCTTGAATCCTTGTAGTTCTGGGCGTATCTGCATAGTTTTCCAGCCAAATTCTTTGAGGAGAATTTTGAGTTTAAAATTGTAGAATAGGATGCTCTATTTTAAAACCAAAAGTTTCCTACCTGAGGCTGCTGAGTGGCAGTGGGTCTCTGAGGAGATGGTATAGGAGTTTTGGACAACATTTGGTTCATTTTGCTTACGACTAGATCAGTTATATGTTGCCTGTCTTCAGTCTGATGCTCACCAATCAGAGGCATTGAACAGTCCATGACCTGTAAAATAAGACATCAGCTATTGAGATGGCACCAAAGGACACTCGTTCCACATCTGTGTAGAATGTCCGGTCATCTGTTTACTTAATTGTTTTTAACAAAAGTCAAACAAGGTCTGTAGGAGTGACATATGTTATCTCTGAAAAAAAAAAATTCACAGTGCAGGGTATGGGTCAGCTGAGCAAGAGAGCAGGAATTTCACAAGGTTGTCTCTTTCCAATCGTCAGGCAATCTACAGTATGACACTTGGGCATCCATTCTCCGGGGAACACGACTCCTGTGGGAAGCACAGCAGATACGGAAAATGAAGCTTCTTATGCTATTCAGTGGTCTGCCAAAAATCTGAAGTAATTGTCTGCGCTTCTGTCTAAGCTACGTTTCTGAAGATTTTCTCTCTTCTGTGATTTTCTGGCTCATGCCATGTTCATCAGCTGAATCAGAACATCGAAATGCAAACTAATACTTCACCTTCCTAGGTATTTGCTGGATTTCTTCTAGGGAAGGCTGGATCCTTATTGAATCATGAGAAAATTTAAATAAGACCTTTATGATATTGATATGCTTTTTTGAAAAGTAGTGTGGCTGCAGTGCAGCTGATGCAAAAAAGAGGTAAGAATTTCTACAAAGAAAGCAGGATATCAGAGAGGCAAATAAAAATGTACACATTTCCATTCCAAATGTGGCAGGTTAATAGTGTTCAGCAACTATTTAATTCAGCTATTCAGATGAATAAAACTAATACTAAATTCAGTTCACTTCAGTGGTTTTAAGTATTTGTTATTTCTACAGAGTATTTGTTATTTCTACAGTGCATCTACTTTTGGCGCGTCTGTGTTTGTTCCAGGGGAGATAAAAGTGTAACACAACAATCCCAACTATTATTCACGACAGCACTGGATATTCTTTTTTTCAACAATAAAAGGATTTAATTCACTTTTGAGAAACTGCAATCCTTTTCCAATACGTATCAAGGCTACTCAGAAAAAGGTGAAGGTGTGTCACCTGCAGCTCTGCTTTCTGGTGTCTCTCATAGACATGGATCACAAGTGACTGAGGCCTACAATATAAACAGTGGTATTAATAATTAATAAAGAGGCTGTCAGGGATAAAGCAGTTAGGCTACATTAGCAGCAATATATATTATTATATTATATATAAATATATACTGCATGGACGTCATTATATCTGACCTGGTTAGACTCTGTGTACAAACTGAGTTGTGCCCATCTAATTTCCAGTCTGTGCAAAGCTGTCCAGCTGCCACATCTCGCCCAAGGTTTCTCACTAGTGCAGGCACATCAGGCAGCAGACACAACAAGTTGTGCTGGTAAGAGAGGAGGTGGTGGTGGGTGACGAAGGAAAGAATCCTCAGTAAGGAATCCTCGTGGGTTTTGCACAGCGGCGGAAGGGTCAGTGGGGTTTATGGGGTGTTTTAGTACGTACAAAAGTGCACCTTCCTGAATCTTTTTGGCTTCTGAGGTTCCTTCTCAACTGCAGGTAAATGGAACAAGACTGAAAAGGTTCAACAGAGTCAAAAGAGTGCTGGAGGACTCTTGCTGCCACAGGCAACTGTAAATGCTAACGGTCAGAGAAACACCTTAAACTTCCCTCTCTCTTCTCTAGTCTCCAGCAAAAGGAGGAGAAAGAGCGCTCCGCTATTGGGGGGCAGGGCTGTTTTGGCTAGAGAGGTTGATTTCTGTCTCTTCAGGTGGGCATTCTGCTGTAAGTTGTTGCCTTGAGCTATTTTTGTTAGTTGTCCAGCTTGTGTAGTTGAAGGGAAAATATTGAAATTTTGTGATAAGACCTGATTCTGCAAATATTTACCAGGTGGAAGGATTTTGTTGTCTGTAAGGGGGACACAGGGATCAGACCGAAGAGCATGAAGTTAGTGCATGTGCCTTGTACGGATCCCTCCTGAGGTGGAAGGGACATAGTGGGGACAACAAAACTCTTCTCAATCCATCGATCTACACTGAACACTTTATCTACTTTATAAACAAAGAGCACAGTTTCACCTTCCTTCTTTTCGATATGCAAATGCTTCTAGGAATTAGACACACGAATTGGGTACTTGAAGAGACATTTGGATTTCAAAGAACACGCATTTTCACTGTAACACTGCAATGTTATCTCTCGTCTTGCACAGTAGCTGGGAATGAGCCGCAATATAAATAACATTACCTAAGCTTGAGGATTTTCAAAATGCTTAAGTGCTACAGAAATTCTTACAGAAGCTGACAGAGACTACTTTGTTCTAATAATGAGATTAGTTTGAAGCCCAAAAGCATTTACATCATTCTTCTGTTTGCTCATTTACCAGAGACACTGGCATCGTGTATTGGCAACCAAAATGCTGGCAACACTTGCTCTGGGATTTTCAGCTCTAGGATGGCTCCTCTAAGCTTCCTCACAGCCAAAACGATTTAAAATCAAGTCAATGATTTAAACCCCAAGTCAACAATGAAACACTAAGTGAAGTCCAGAGCAAATGTTTCCTAAGAAATGAATGAATGTTTTTCCACTCTTGGGCCACATCAACCGTGTTGCCGAAATGCTTAATAATGACACAGAAAGTTTCTATAAAATTTACCGTATTTTTTCTATACATATTTTTGAGTGGAACATAAAAAAAAGTTTTTAATTAATTGAGAGAAAGATATCGAATCAATACGAGTTGATATTTCTGAATGGGTAAAACGTAGTCTTGCTGGTTGTATGGCTCTTGAAATGTAAAATTTTTGTGGATTTACTTTAGTATTAAATCTGCTGAATTATTGCTATTTCTTAAAACTGTTTTAATGCTGAAAGATCCACTTCATTTCATCATGAACTTCTTCTTGCAAGAGTAATATGCACAATGCCTGGAGGGAGGAGGCAACCATATATGCCAGATACTCTGGCCAGGACTTTAAAGTGTTAATAATGACTGAATGTTAGAATGTCTTGATGTCAGTGTGAAGGACATTGGATGTTTGACTCTCTGCTGCAAAACATCTGATTTTCAGAGAGGGAGTAATGTCTGCAGTCTCAAAATCTGCCCCCCTTAAGGCAGGCATTAACAAGGGTTAGTTTTGAAAACCTTGCCCCGCTCACTATCAGGTGTGTATTAACCCCCTTTTACCCAACAGCAGAAGCAACAGTTACAGGTTTCACGAGTGTGCAAAGAAAACTCTTTGTTTACCATCCACTGGCATTAAAAAAATTCTTTGGAGTGACTGTGAAACAAATTGCCTAAAATAAGACCCTGCCAAAGGATTAGCCAGGATTAAGATCCGGAGGACTGGGTTCCAACTGAATTTCTATTTTTAAACACTTCCATAACTGCAAGTTCACGTATCAACTTTCTCGAGGAGATATTGCCATGCTGTTTACCAGAACATGGGGAAAAGTGTAGTCCTATGGCTAAGGATAAAAAAAGAAGCTTTGAAGCGTTGCTCAAAACTTCATGTCCACTTCAGTAGAGAAGATGTTACGATCCCTGAAGACAGTATTCTCAAGCATAGCTGCCCTATTCACATACTGAGGCAGATTCAAACGCATACGACATTAAAACCCACAACTATTTGCCCTGGAGAATGTTTTGTCGCTTGGACAGGTTCTGATGTTGTTAAAAACCCTGTTGCTTGTGCCACACTTGCACAAATGTTGTTGGCCAAAGACATGCTGAACCTAACACTGAACAAGTTCCGAGTCAGATGCTGTGTCTTGAACGGTGATAAGCTACAAGGTGTTCCGGTGCTTCCCTGAAGTACAAAGGTAGTGGCCAAAGTGGTGACAAGAGAAGGTAAGGCAGCAGATTATCAGGAAAACTACTGATCCCGACGTGAAATGTCACTAAACAGCTGAGTAAGTAAAAGATTACCGAGGCTTAACAGCAGTTCAGTTGCAGGACACTCTCCAGTTTAACACCTGACTGGAGTCGAGCGGCTCCGTGCGGGTGGGCAGAAGTCACGGGTGGCCGGAGGGGATCCTAGCGCAGCGCGGACACCCAGCCTGCAGGTCGCTTAGCTTCCCTCCCTGCCACTGCTGCTGTGCCTCTCCAGGATGGAAGTTCACTTTGCTTCTGCTCTTCCTTGGCTAAGAAGCTAAGATCAAGGTGAATACTTTACAGCGAGGGTTTTGTTGTCTTTTTTTTTTTTTTCCTTTAAGAGAATGCAGTCTATTTTCCTTCCTAGTAAAATAATTAATCACAGTTATCAGAAATCAGTAATGTTTTATTTAAATGTATCTTAAGAACTAAAAATATTTTGGGTAGCTCTAACAGTTTTTAAAACCTGAGAGTGGCTAACAGGAATGTCATGCTGGCATTTCCCCCACTTTGGAGGACTTGACAAAGTTTAAACATACACAAAGCATCCTGTTTATAAATAGTCTATTTACAGTCTGTACTAGTTTTAAAATATCATTTAAACACAGCCAGTTGTTTTTTTTCAGTACCTAGTTCAGCTATTTAAAATACTGGAGTTTCCCAGTAAGACGATTTCATAGAAAAAAAAGACATCTCTGCAATTTGTGAAGTCAAATATGTTTCTTTTGCAGATGCCAGTAAAACGTGGGTCACTACGAATTACGGTCACTTCATTTGTATCGCTTCCATCTTCAATTTAAATGTATTTCAGTAACCAACTCTATGGGATGAATTTCTCTTGTCACGCAGGAACCATGTTTGAAGTAGAAACTACTCTTGAGTGCCACGTCCAGACACAGCTCTCCATTACGTAGCTTGTTCCCCACCAAAGGACTAAGGAAGATCTCTTGGGGCTTTCTGAAGCCCCAGCCCAAACGGTGCTGGGAAAGGCAGAGCTGTGGAGGTCAAAGGAGGGGCAAAGGTAAAGAACTCTCTTGGTAACAGTAGGAGAAAAAGGTGTTTGTCAGGATGCTGAAATACAAGAGGAATATGAAGGAGTCTGACAGAATAACGACATATTGATGAAATCCATGGATTTCATATGGAAAAAGACCTACGAATTACAGGAGAAGATATGATAACTGGCAAGTGC